ATTTGACACAAATCCAGTCTGTCTTGTAGGTGTCAGTCAGATGAAGGTGAGGACACAACTGTGAACAGGACAGCCTTTGTCTTCAAGGATCTCACACATTCAAAGCTTTTGTCAAAACCTCAGACTCCCAGCTTCCTACTTATGGTTGCACTTAAGCAAAAGCTACCAATAATGTGGCTTGTTAATGAAAGCCTCTTTGAGTTTATGCCTCAATATTCTGCATTTCCCCTTCATTTTCTAATGATTAGTGCTCTATTTCTATTGGGCTATATGACAATTTAAGAACATATAAAACACACAAAAGAACAAACACAATTCACAGGCAGAAGTTATTCGGTTACACATCTATCACAAAGTTAAAGACACATTAAGTAGAGATTTTCATATGTAATAGGATAGGGCATGGTGTCTTTAACATAATGTGAATTTAGAGCAAGTTATATCTCCCCAAATGCAAGGCAGACAATGTATATGGTAGACAAAACGGCTGGGGTCCCTCCTGACCCAGTCCACAAAGGTCAAGGGCTTCCCTTTAACATCCTTCGTGGAGGAAGCATGACATGAAACATCCTTCTTCTCAAGGAGACACTATACAATCTGAGCAAAGCTATCACTGCAAACACAAATAAACAACCCCTAATTTCAGCACCTTTAGAAACAGCTCAAGTCAATGATACTTGTAGGCTTGAAATAACCTAACACAAGAAAGTGAAGACTTACTTGCTGAAAAGGATTCGGGGCTCTTCCAAAAGTACATACTGTTTCTAAAGAAGCTGTCGCAGGAAGAAGTCAGGTGTGAGACAAAGACACTGAAGCTGTACTGGAAGGTGTGAAGTCACAGAGTAATGGGACACAGCACATGCGTGGCTGATTCTGAATTGTTTGATATTCTTTCTCCAGTTGTGAACAGGGTATAGAATAGAAACACTAGGAAGGGCTAATCTCTGGCCCAGCAGTGCTTCGAATTAAGTCAGAGCCTGCTGATGGAGGCAAGTGATTGTGGTACCATTAGATGCGTCTGACCCAGAGAGCAGTCTGGGGAAAAGCAAAGACTAGATGGGACTAAGAGTCTGGAACCTAGGTTCTTTTGTGAGGAAATTTGCACACAAAAGAGGCAGGCAGTGTGAGTGGAAGGAAGTGAGTATCAATTTCCTCACCTGCAAAACGTGAGCATGCATGCCTATCTTACAGAACTGCACATCAGTGTGTATGGTAAGTAGGCGCACCTGCTATAGTGAGTCTGTAATAATGTCAGCTCCTTCCTGCTGTAATTGCTTGTATCCTTTTGAGGTCCAGCCTTCAGTTTCTCTTAATAGATACTGTCACAAACGCCTCTTGGGTTGTAACATGCACACACTCACTGAGAAAGAAACCTTGAGTGGAGTTCTACCCCAGTAACACCTACAACTCTGAAGTGGCTTAAGAGAACAGTAGGAGCAGGAGTGTTCATATCCGCCATTGCCAATTGCCCTTCGGAGCAAGGCTATCCCCCTGGGTAGCCTACACTCTCTAGTAGTCCCAAGCTCTGCCTCCACCTTCTGGACTTTCTTGGGAGATAGTGCGCTGAACAACACCTTACCTGAGAGGATCCATGGCCTAGCATAAGCTTTAGAATTGCATTGAATATTGAATTTACAGGTTTACTGCTGTTGGATTTCTTCAACCCACATGTTCGTTTCTTCTTTTTGCTATAGTTACTTAGGTATTCTTTACTCTCCTTACTTCCTACCTCACTGATTGTTTTCTCTGCTGTGTCAGGTAATTCCATCTCCATCTCTCAGACACATGGACACACTCATTTTCTCTCTTTCTCTCACACTTTCGGAAATCTAGACAAAGATGCCAGGAATGTGTCTGCTGGACTTTTGACATAGGGTCTGATGCCATCTCGGGGCCGTGGGGAGGGCAGAGTCATGGACATGGCATTCACGTACTCTGATGCTGGCCTGGCTCCTATTTTTATCGTGGCATGGCTCTGGGCATCTAGGCAGGGAGCTGGTCCAGCTTCTTCTCATTCCTTTACTCTCTACATCAGGGCTCCAAAATAATTTTACCCCTTACCTTGGCTGGGTCTTCCTGCCCCAAGCCTTCTACCATCAATGGGGCACAGTGCATCTCTCCTTCCCTCAAACCCAGACTAGCTCTGAGTGCTTTTCCAGTTTCCTAAATCCAGCTCTGATGCATACAGGGAACTGCTGGATTTCTTATGTTTTCAGACACGAGAAGTTTGCACAAGCTGGCTTCATGGTTCCTTGGCTTAGACTGCTATCCTCACTCCCCTTTCCTCCAAATAAGGAGCTCTCCTCATTACATAATTGGATGTTCCCAGCACAGAAGCTGACATGAGGTCAGCCACGCATGCGTGCAAGACTTGCCTTTGACTTAACGATACCTTTTTTGGGCAACTAACTTCTCTTGAGCTTCCCTCCCCCATTCCCTCCACACCATCAACAATCAAGGGAGATTTATAAGCCTGGCACAGATTAGAACTCCTCCGAAGTTGGCTTAGAAGGAGGGGTCATGGGGTTGGATTTACTCTGTCTCCCCTGCCCCGCCTTTGCAGGCTACAGAGAGTGCGCTTACAACTTGGCAGGAGTCCCTGGAGTCCAAGGCAGTTCTGTATATAGGTCTTTTAAGGGAGCAGGGAGAGTAAAGGAAGCTGGAAGCCAGAGAAGGAAGCATGAAGCACGTCTGCTTGGAGATAGAGAGCTGGAGGGTGGAATGTCAGGACGTCTTAAGGGGGCATGGCACCTACATCTAGGTGGCTGTCCTATCCTGGATACCCAGACTGCACAGTGGTCAGGACAAGTAAAGCTGCAACAGCAGCTAGCTGTGGCCAGGGACAACCACCAAGCTTCTTAAAGCACATAAAGGACAGGAACTCAAGTGCTCTGAGGTTTTGGATGGAAATGTGGGAGTCGGTCATGGGGACACTAGGACCTCATACATCATCCCTTGTAGTGGAGTCAGGGTGGGCGTGGTGTGTGTGTGTGCTGCTGCTCCAGGAGGGATCCAGTTCCCAGCTTCTTTGCTTACCACACAAACACGTTTTTAAAAATAAAGTCCCTGGTCTATCTAGGGAAGAGATGGAGGCTCGTGTAAGAGGTTCTCCTTGCTCCATGTAGACATGGACATCCAGTTTGGAGTCTATGAATACCTGATAATCTCTCCCAAGGGAATGATCCCCACTCTGAGCAGTGATTTTTGGGGTGATTCTTGACCCTTGAAACTATGGGGCAAAGGTCTTATCCTGAAAGTTAAGAGAATTACTATAGATTAAAAGTGTAAAAATGTGTTTTAGATTCTGCATATGTTATTTATGAACTTTATGGTTTAATAACTCAAATTCCTTACAAGCCATAGATTTTTCATATTAGAGGTGGGAATTATAATAACTCTTTCACAGAGCTCTTTAAAAGGATTAAACTATAAAATATCCTCAAAGTGACACATATAATGTCTGAGTGAATTAACCTCTCAATAGACATTTGCTGCATAGTACCTACACTTAAGCCAAGAAGATTATCCATTGTGAGGCTATGGATGCTGAAGTGGGCCCTGTTTTCTTCATGTCACCACACATCTGGAGACTTGTTGATGGAAGACTATGGGCCACAGGGGTCAGGTCCCTAAAGCTTTTGGGTGGAGGGAAATGTTCCATTCTTCAAAGGCCATAAGCCCTGCCCCCTTCCTCTTATTAAGAAAGTGTCTAGAACATTATAAAACTAGAATGGATTCTGAGAAACAAATCAAAAACACTACAAAAAGATGGGGAAATGATTTATAGGCAATGAGAGGTCCTTGTGGCCCTTGAACTACCAGTGAAGGAGCAATTTCTCAATCTTAGCACTAGAGGCATTTTGGGAAGAGTATGTCATCGCTGTGTATGCTCTGGGTAGGGGAAGGAAGGAGTGCAGTGTGTGTGTGGGGGGTGCTCTGTGTAACATAGAAGGAAAGCAGCACCAATGTTCTTCACCCACCAGATGCCTGCCAGGAGGTGTTTCTACCCTCCACCCCTACTTGACAACCAAAAACTTCTCCAATGTTGCTAAATGTCCCTGGGAACAAAAGAACCCCATTGAGAATCACTGCTTTTGGGAAAATAGATAATCTATATCAGAAGAATCACTGTCAAAGAGGACGAGCAGAGGATTCCTCAGTTTCAGGGGCAGTGAGAGAGGATGCCATTACAAGCTCCACAGAACAAATGAAATCTGGTCTTCAGTATCTGAAAAACGTTTATTACTATGTCAAGCATGAGAGAATGGGGAAGGTCATAACAATGGATAAGAAATCAGCCACAGGAACCTCCACATTCATAAATTTTTCAAGCCACCTGTGAAGCCCAGACAAAGCTAAGATACAAGCCTTGAGTTTCTCTCTCTGTTTTACCATCCTGTAAGCACTATGTCCTAGTAAGAGAAATGCTCACTGCACAAAGGTGAAAAACAGAACATATGCATAGCAACAAAGATTCATACCATACAACAGATTACAGACAAGCCAGAGACCGTAAGCCACAGAGAGACAGAAGACACAGGAGAGAAGTGGAAAACTGAAGTCTGGGCTCACTCTTGGTCAAATGACTCCAAGATAATGTGATACCAACGCATGCTTGGTGACTGAGATAGTCGCTAATGTATTTAAATTGACTGCATTTTGGTGCCCTGTGTGAGAAATCTCTAATGTGTTGAACTCATGTGCTAAAGCAGGCAGACTGAGTTAAAGTACTCTAAGAACACAGGCAGTGTCTCTAATTCAGTGTGCTAGATATGTCAGAAATCTTAGAGAATTGGATACATTCAAACTTTGGTCAAGGTGGTTACTAAAGGGCTTCTATAGGGGCTTCTTCCCCACACCCCTATATTAGGGAATCTACCTTCTGCTGAGTTCATGGGTTTCTTGGATGCAACATTACACCTTCCTAGTATAGAAATGAGTCTCATGTCCAATTTCTTAGCAAACTGAGGCTAAGATGATGGAGAGCTCAGCAATCTTACCTTTGAACTAGAGTTCCAAAAACAAGGCGGAAGAACTTCTGCATGCTTTCGGTACACAGCCATTTCCACTGCTCCATTAACAGCAGCAGGATCAGATCCAAGGCCGTGTCGGCTAACTCGGTCTCTGCTCCTGCGGGACAAAGGTATCACAAGTAACCCTTCCTCTTTCAGAGCTTTAGGTAGCAGCCAGGTCTTCTCCAGCTTCATGCCATCATCTTAGAGTTTTGAGATCCCTCTGCACAATATAAATCAAGAAACACTTGTATCTAGATCATCGAGTTATATGCTCTGTATGGTTTTCCAAATTCTTTATGTTCTGATGCTGTCTCCTCTCCACAGGTTTTTCTTTTTTTTTAAAAAAATCTTATTAACAAGCTTTACACTTAATTATTTTACTTATCTGGCATCGGTTTCCCCTTCCTCTGTCTTTCTCCAAGACACTGACTACATTCTACTCCGAATACGGGCTCACAACTGGTGACTAACTGGAATTGGCAAGGCCTTGTCCCTTCCACTCGCCCCCACAGCAAATGATGGAAAAGAGTGGGCAGATCAGGAAAAAGAGCTCAGCTTCATTCTCCTGCAGAAAACCCATCTCCATTACACAGAGCTGTGGGGTTGGGGTCCAGAAGCTTTAGCGGATTCTGAGATAACATGTGGTTCTAGAAAGAGTACCACACCTCTGGTAAAATGCCATGACATTTACCAATTTTTTTCCTATTTGGAAGACATGAGGGGCCACAGATGAGCTCATGCTTATGCTCTGCTGGAGTGATCTGAACATCTGTTAACTGGACAGGAGCATCTCTTCTCTAAATCTGTGCTGAGCTCCCGCGTCATGCTGATGTCCACGATGATTAGGGGAATCCTGGTACTTCTGCTGTGAGCAAATTTATCACTATTATTTTCAATGCTCACTCTGCTGGTCTACACTCACTGGGGATCTCTGGAAGAGCCTGCGCCAGCTTTCCTCTTCCAAGGGTGTTCCAGAAAACAAATCACTTTGGATTTGGGCAGATCTATTAGAACTGAATCTCACCTTTTTTTAAACTTTGCCCAATACCTATTTTTGTTTTTCTGTGCTGTATTTCAAGGGGGTGTGGGAAATGATGAGTTGTTTTCCATTCATTTGCTCAAAGGTGGGCTACTCCTCCCTCAGGAAACCCTCCTCACTGCCGTCATCTCCTCAGCTTGAGCATTTGTCTGCAGCTGCCACCCTGTGGTTACATCTAGTCATAGCAGTGCAAACAAGGAGCCACAAGGGCCTCTTGAAGAACAAGATAAACTCTCTAACACACAAGCACTAATAATCAAGACAATGACTTAAGTAATTCCCTACTCAATGGAGGTTTTCCTCTCAGATGACTCAAGCCTGCATCTTGCTGACAATTATAGCTGCACAGGACAGTAGTAAGAGCCATCTGTCACATACTTAAATTGAGGTCCACACAGTAGAAGCCAGGTAAGTTGTTCTTGGGCACCTGGGAGTAAATATGAAATTAGTTTTTTCATCCCCTTCTGATCTCAAAATTTTGTGATCATTTAGTCTTTGAGGGGTCTTTGTTTTAGTTAATTAATATAATTCTTCTTTTTAAGTTCTATATCACAACAACACACTAAAAGCTAGGTTCTGATTCTTCCTCTGTAGGGAACGTTTGATCTTCTCCTGGGAAGAAAATGCTCTTCTCTCTTTTTCCTTGCAATGCAGGAAGTAAAGTAGGACCAGATCTGAGAGAAGATGAATTCTATGTGGTGATTCTGTGGTCTACCCATTTAAAGACGCATGCTATTTGATATTTAGGCATCAATGATACATGTACAAAGGCAGAAGCTGACAGTCAGGTTGTGACAGTCCCTTGGTAGGGAGGGCACAGAGTAAGAACACAACCTATAACTAAATATCCAGAATGATGTAAAGGAACCCAAAAGGGATAGAGAGAAAGAAAGAGAAAGAAAGAAAGAAAGAAACATCAGGTAATTGGTACCACAGACACTGAGGGAGGGAGATGTCTAGAAGAAGACAGTAGCCCCTGTGTCAAAAACAACACACTGATACTATGCATATATTATGCATGCAGATTTTCCCTGCTGCTTGACTGGCTCTGAGGACCATTTCCATCTTACCCAGCTCTGGCCCTAGCACCTCTAATTCTGGAGGAGTTCAAAACATGGATCTCTTGGCTGAGCACAAGAGAAATGTGAACTACAAAGTCCACTTTCCCTAAGTCCCAGTGGACTTCTCCCTGGATCCTCTTTGAGAAAGCAAAAATCTTATCACTCACCTGGGTCACTGTTGGTGAATTCTTGGGCTACTACAGCTGTATCTCGCAAACAGTTATCCACACATTCTTTAGGGACTTGTTGGGGATCTTTATCTGATACATCTGCTGGCTGCATTTCCAGTAACTTTGTCTGCTTCTCAATGAAGGATTCCATCCCAGACATGGACAGGATCTCTGACTCCTGGAGAAACAGTCAGTGGCAAGGATCACCAAGAATGCAGGAGGTAGAATAAATGTAACATCTAGGTTTCCTATCTTCCACCTGCAAAAGTACAATGGGTACAGAGCCCCACTAACCCTAGGCCACTTCAGGAAAGTTCTCACTCCTTACCCAAGTTGCAAGTAAAACTAGCCTGCTCTGGGACAATCACTTTTGTACACTGCTGGGTCATCTGTTCTCATTGAGAAACTGGTTTCCCTTTTTCTTCTCATCCTATCATTACTATCGCAAAGCCATTACCATACGAAGCCAACTTACCAACTCAGAACTGAGAATTCTAAAGTACTCAGAGGAAACACTGTTAGCATAAACTTTCCAGACCCAGATATCAGCCAAGTCCTTGACCAGGACACCTGATTCTTATCTGACTTCAGAGAAGCCTCCTACATAATATATCTGCAGAATCAAAACCTCAATTGTGATTCTAGCAGTTCTCTTGGTTTGCTCTTACCGCATTGCCCTCCTGGAGACAGTAGAGAACCCTGTCCTGCACCTCGGCTATATTCAGCGCAGGAGCAATTTTACTGAAGGAGAACCTCAGTCTGGACCTGACACAGAGACAAAGAATGAGATGCAAGTCAAGATCATAGTCCCTATAAAAGAGTCTGGTAAGTATCGACAACACATTAAAGCAGAAGCATCCATTCTTACTCCAGGGGGACTTAGTGTGATCACAACTACCTGGAAGATGGGACCCCGAAATCCCTCAAACAACGTATACCTGGTAATTCTTCAAATAGTGCCATATTTATGCTATTTCTATAGTGCATTTGTGAAAGGATTTTTTTCAAGTAAAATAGTGCTTATTCTGTCATGGCTACATTCCCAGAGCCGTGATGACAGGTTTGCATAAGAAATCTGTTGAACAGATTAACAGACAAATATCACAGACTAAGGTCTTTTGTTACTGTTTTGGTATCTTTTTGGGACAATCACTTGTTTCCCTTATATTCCAAATAAGACTGGACAAGCAATTGCAAATGACAACCACAACAGGCATCGTGGTTATTGTTTCATATATGAGCACAGCTGGAAGGCCAAGTACTGAGACCACGGGTGACTAGAGAAGAAGCGCATCTATTGTTCTTTCAGCACCCGTGTCAGGTAGCTCAGGGCTGCCTGTGACTCCAGTTCCGGGGGACCCGATATCCTTTTCTCTTCTCTGTGGGTACCAGCGTGCACGCACGTGCACACACACATAAAAATAATAAATCTTTTTATTTTAAAGCCTGCTACAAGGATAGTATTTCTGGCTCTTAATATGAACATAAAAATGAAGACAACCAGTCAGGTACATATTCATTTAAATTCTCTCTCTCTCTCTCTCTCTCTCTCTCTCTAATGAACTACATTCACACAATGCTTTCAGTAGAGTTAGGGTGCATGTGTTGTTCTTACCCCTCCACCTGCTGGCGTGGAGTGTTTCCAGGGACCAGCTGGGACATCAATGCGGCAAGAGCAGCAACAGTCTACCAGCTACTAAAGTACACCCCGCAGGATTCCATTCTAGTCCCTTCCCAATTACTGCTAGAGTAAGTAGTCTCTGAGCCAAAGTTTCCGGAAATGATGGCAAACAAATCAATTGTAAGTCTTAATTTAATTCTTTCTAGGAAAGAAATACCTCAATTTCTACAAAAAGAAGAGTATTACGCCTTTAGTTTTCCCTTCTAGTCAACAACTCCCAGTGAGTGGGCCCAGGGTTCCCTGGGTAGGAGCAAACACTCAGCAGTACTGCCTACTCAGACTCCCTGGGTACAGCACTGTGGAACCCAGCCTCTGGCCTGGCTAAGAAGCTGATGGGTACCATGCACCTCCTCTCTTCTAGGGTTTGAGAATGGAATGGGGCTTTGACACCTGAGGACAGGGGCCCTGGACCACTGAAGGGCTTCTCACTTGCTAGCCTTCTTGCCTTCTGTCTGGGGCTTGCTTTCATTCTCGGCTTCACTCAGCTCCTCTGTGGGGCTCTGGGGTTCAGAGCGAGGAAACGCTGTCTTCAAGGTGTCCACAATCGCACTCACCACCATCTGCAAGGTTGGAGGTACAGGGTCAGTATGACTATGCACATTCCTGATGGGCAGTGAAGGAGAACAGAGCCATTATCTCTCTGTGCTTTATACCAAAGGATGAAGGATGCAGCCATCCACAGAGCCTTTGAGAAAACTGGACAACAGCCAGTGACAAGAAGTCTTTTGCTCCCTGTCTAGAACAATCTTTTCTTCAGAGTAAGACATACAATACCACGGACAAGAAGCCAAAAGCAAAACAGGGAGAAATAAAAACTCAAGCAAGTTCTTCACACTAGAGAACACATTCAGTAAATCTTTCTTTCTTTCTTTTTTTTTTTTTTTTTTTTTTACATTAAAGGGTGATTCCTAGCTTCCAAACTGACAATACCATCACCAAAGTGTGACTCAGTAGAAATTACAAAGGCATGTAAGGGGAAAAATGAAGATGATAAGAAGAAAAGAGAAAATCCAGTGTAGCAGCTTAAATAATATAAACATGTTGCAAGGATTCATAGAGTAATAAGTTGGGTTTATAGTCAAATCAAACAATTCTCTTCTTTAGGTACAGAAAGAATAAAAATCACACAGGCTGGTAGTTAAGTTATCTGGAATTGCTATAAAGAAAAAAAAACTATCTGTGGAAAGTAAGACTCATCTACAGTTTTTCAGAGTAAGTTGACATGCATATATTTGCTATTAAAGGAAGTGTACAAAGGAGAACCATCAAGGGAAAGGAAGTAAGCAACGGTAATGAATGCCCCACAGGAGCACAGCCTGTACAGCCAAGGCACACCGGACAACCAGCAAGACCACAGGGAACACCAGGAAAAACAAACCAGGAAGGGAACAGAGGATGGAATGCATGAACATAAATAATACTGCTTATAAAACACGCCTTGCAGGCTGAGGAGATGGTTCACTGGGCAAAGTCTTTACTCATGAGAACCCAAGCTCAGACTCCTAAGTACCTATATAAAAACTGGGTGTCATGATGCATATCTGTAACTCCAGTGCTGCTGGTCTGGAGGCAGACCGCACAGGCTTGCTAGCCAGCCTAGCTAGAAGAGAAATTGAGGTTCAGTGAGAAACCTTGTCTCAAATATATATGATGCAGGAAGAGATTCCATGTCTTCCACACACATGCGTGGGTGAATACACTGGTGTGCATATGCATATACATGAAATTTATTTATTTATTTAATTTTCTTTCCTGTCTCAGGATTGTAATTGAGGGGAGGGCCTTTATCTGTGCCCTCCACTTTGGCCTTACTGGAAATTAGCACAGTGCCTTGCTCAAAATTGTCAGTCTGGCTGAACGTGATGGCATATGTCTGTAATCCAAGCATTTGGGAGGCTAAGGAGGAAGAGTTTGAGACCAATTGGACTATACTGGTAGTTCCAGGCCAGACTAGGGTACAGTGAGATCCTGTCTCAACAAGCCCAAAACAAAGAAACAGGCTATAACAAAGCAATTTCCCCATAAGGAAATAAGGAAAGAACCAATGAACACATCTGCTCAGAACTCCAGGGGTTTTTACCTACTTGATCCCTTCTAGTTTGGGATCATAATAAAGAATGTTCCCTAATATCTACCACATGAAAATCCAGCCAGAGTCAGGAGGCATACCTCCTACAAAGAATTCAGTTTGCTTATAAAATTGCTGATGATATCAACCGAGGCTCCAGTGTACTGTATTTCCCAAGTATGCTTCCCTTACCACCTACACAGGTGCTGAGACGCCCTCTTGAAGAATATATGGTTCTCTGTACATTCTGTTCTCCAGCAGAGGATCACTACACCAATCCAAATCCAGATTAATGTCCTGGCTTAGAGCTCTCTACTGAGTACCCAATAATGTGAATAACTTATCTCTCCAAAGAGAGCCTCCTGCCACCGTCAGAGGTTCACGTCTATCCTCACATGCTTCTATTAGAACAAGACTGCAATAACTCCTGGTGGTACATAAACACATAGCGTGAGGGTACTGTCTTCTAACCACTGCTCACCGTGACTCAGCAAGTCGATGATCCAGCCCGTATTTAGCAACAGGTCTTGAAAATTTTAGTGCATGTTCTACTGACCCTCTATGCTTCCTCTACCTAAGCCCTTATTTTCCCAACATGGTCTCCAGTCTAATAAACACGTCACACTTGCAGACAGGAAGAATGCTGAGCAGAGTAGCTCTGCTGTTACCTTGTCTATTCTAGAGACCATGAATGGTTTTTTGACAAAGGCGATCCGAGCATCTGTATTCAGTGCAAGGAACTCCTGCACCTCCTCGCTGTTGGCAATCTCAGGAATGGCACAGAGTTGCTGCAAAAGACAAATATTTCAGAAGAAACCCTAGGCCCCAGATCTCACCACTTTGGGTTGGATGTTTTAGGGTCAGAATGTGAGCCAAGCCAGAGGATCAGATGCCGACCTTCAGGAAGGACTCCAGGAGGCTCTTCCGGGCCTCTACTCTGTCACTATCCATGTTTCCAAATGGAAGATCTGGAAAGAGCTTTTTTGGACCCTTAATATCTTCAAAACAAACAACAAATTCATCTAGTTAGCATTCATGCAGAGGTATTCCATATAAAACAGACAGAATCACTGAATATATTTCACTAGGCTTTGTTTCTAGGTTTTTGTTAATTTAGGGACTTCCAACTGTTCCCATGGTTGTGACGCAACAGTCTACTCTCATTAGTGTGAAGAGAGCACATAATGCAGTGGTTATAAGGCAGGTCCAAAGTTTAAGTTCTCGCTCCAATTCCTGCTATAATAAAGACCTCAGGCAAGCCACATGATCTGCAACTGTTGCTTTTCTATAAGAAGGAATGATAGAATCTACCTTCATGGTTACAGGAGGACATGAGCTAACACATGTAAAGCATGTAGAAGAGAACCTGACACACTTCTAAAACCTGTCCTAGTGTTACCTATGTTATATTCAACCTATCATTTACTTAGGTGATCATTAGCATCTAGAACAATAACAAAGGGGAACAAAGTAGCCAGTTCCTAGCTTATTTGTAATTAAATTTTATTATATTTTAAACACTTCTCTGTGCCTTGGATGTGTCTAACTGCACACAAACGGCTTGGTTGTTAAAGACAGGGATATCTGGGTTATTTAAGACGGGTAACCCACAGACCTGGAAAAGCTACTCAGCTCAAGTGGTTCTGTGAGCATGGGTAGGAATGTGTAAACTACGAGGGGACAGTAGAATAAAGCATGTAACCAAGGACAACCTCAGTAAGGATGCCATCACAGCTGTTCAGCTCTAAACCCCACAGCCTCTCAAGCAAACTCGGGGGCAAGACACTCTCAACGCTGTCTTCTCCTCCCCACAAACCCAGAGGCCACCAAGCATGCAGATCAGAGTGGCCAGATGTGATATGCAAGATGGCATTTGGGGCTTAGGGAACTTCTGACTTTTGATAAACTTTCGTAGATCTGGTTTCTCCTCCAGGCGGGTCTGCAGATTCAAGAACTCCCGGTAGCGGCGGTTCACGGTGTGGTAGGCCAGCTGCTGTAGGCCGCTGCTGTTCTCACCATTAAGGGCTGTCTCATACTGTGGAAGGAACAGAATTATCAATGAAATCAGGGGGCTTGGGAAATTATTCAGTGGTCACAGTGGAGCACTAGTAAAGGGAGAAGGCTGCTCCTTTATGCTGCTGAGCCTTCTGCATCGGACTGCCACCCTCAGTTGTAACTAACGACCCAAACTCCAAGGTGGTAGAATGAGCTGTACTTCCCGGCACCCCTTGTTTGGTCAGAAATACTTTTCACTGTTCCTTCCATTACTTCTATCCAAAACTTTTCACCCCCAAAGTAGCTATGTAATGTTTTTAAATCCTAAAGACATTATAAAACAGAAGTCATAATACCTTCAAAAGGGACTACTGCTAAATGACAGGAGTGCCCTCATCAGGAGCAAATCACTTTGCCATCACACCTAGTCACTAACGCTTGTTTGGGGGAAGAATCAGCAAACCCAGACAGATAACCTTAAGACATGTCTTTGCCTGAAATGTTTTCTTTTTTTTTGTTGCCTTGAGCAGATTAATCTTCCTAATTGTTATTCCTGGAGTTGAACTAAAATTCTTTGTCTTAGGTATATATTAGCTGTATCATTAGACATCCCATGATGACTGGAAATGTTCTGAGGGCAGTCTGCTGCCTTCATGCGTCACAGGGGGGACGACACACACAGCACACGCCTAGGGAAGGAAGCCCTGAGCAGCATGGAAGCTATGGCACGAGAAATTCTGTGACAAAGGAGTTAAGATGCAGAGCTGCTGTGAGCCTGTGCTTGTTCCTAGCAGAAACTGATCACTCTCTGAGTGAAATATTATAGGATGGCAAGTGATTTAAAATAACAAAACGAAAAACGATCTCCTTGTTGAAAGTTCTTGAGCTGGTGTTTAAATATTTGAGAGCTAGAGAGAACGAGAAATCCACTACAGCTGCGGTAAGCAAGGAAGTCTTGGAAGTCAAGTACTGAGAAGAAAAGAACAGGCAGAATTCAGGACAGAGCTTCCAAGCTTTGAGCACCTAGGAGCTAGGATGCTTTCTGTGGAATATTCTACCCTTGAGGACAACTTGAATTTTCTGGTAATACGAAAAAACTGTTCTCTGCTATTAGTCCATGAATATGTCATAAGAAGAAGATGAAACAGCCAGAATCTAGCATTGCTACGTGAGCACAGGGCATGCCAGAGTGACACCTAGAATTAGGGGAACAACACAGTAGGTAACTGGTTGACAGTCGCCAGTTACTCATGACCAGATGTCTGTGTTTCCAAATGATACCTGTTCTATAAAGACCATGTGACTGATGTCATTGCAATGAGTGCAAAGGTGCATCTAATTAGGGTCACCGTCTTAACTTTAAATGTCATGTGAGTTTTAAAATGCCAGGTCATCCTGCAGCTCCTTCAGCAGGCCCTGCCCACTTTATTGGCTTGGACTTCCCCAGGAGTGTGTATCTAGCCCTGTGTGGTGGTGGTGCTTGGACACACCAGTACAAGGCTGGTGAGCTCCACAGAAATTCCAGAAGGCAGGTAAAGTCAACCAGTGCCTCCTGCCAAGAAACTTTCTAAACTTCTTCTTCCTAATTTCTTTCTTTATAAAATACTAGTATCTTTTGCATTTTTATTATAGAAAGGTAGAACAAAAATTTACATCAGAAGGTGGCAGGTTCCTTATTCCTGAGGTATTTAAGCACAGACTTGGGAACAACTATGCAGAGAAGATACGAGGAAAGTTGACTAGAGTCACAGATGTCCCCTTAAGCCAGGCTGTGGACCAATGTGTTGACTGAAAAGTTTCATTTAAAAAACAAACATGGGGGAATGGAGAAGAACCCTTGCTGCTCTTGCAGACAACCAGGGTTTGGTTCCCAGCCCTCACATGGCAACTTACATTTTGTTTGTAACTGCAATTTTAGGGGATCTAGACCCCTCTTCTAGCCTCCACAGGCATCAGGTACACAATGCATTTACATACACGCAGGCAAAATACACACATGAAATAAAAATAAGTAAATCTTTTTTTTTTAAATGTAGAATCTTGGGATTCATTCTTAGAAATTCTCATTCAGAATCTGCCTGCCTATCAGAATCAATTTATTTAAAAAGGAGCCCAAGTGATTCTGAGGCGAAACCAGGTTGGAGAACCAACAAAAAAAATCTGACCTGCAGTACTCTAACACTGAGCTTCTAGGACTGTTTGTACGGCTATGGAGTAAGAGCCTGCTCTGCCTTCCAACTTAGCCACGCGCCAGCCACACATGTGTTTAATTAAACGCAGGCTACTCTTCTCTGCCCTTGTAGCATTCTGTTTACCGACTCTCCTCTGCACAGTCGTTCCCAGAGTGAATGGCCACAGCTGTAGTCGTGTTACCTTCACAGTGTACAGCGTGTATGGGTGGAATCCAGTACCACTGTGCTCTCGGGCGGTGATGGTGCCAGTGATCCGAAGGTTCTGGATGACAACTGGGCCATCGGGACTGCTCAGGGGCTCAAAGCTGAAGGTGGCTGAGCTGAGAGGACCAGGGGGAGAGGAGGAAAGTGGAACTGGTGGCAGGGTAGGCTCAAGGGAGCTCACACCACTGGTGAGATCCTTTTCCAAGCATGAAGGTCTTGGGGGGCAGGGTTTTTCTGGCTCCTCTAACAAAGTCGTAAGAGAGGTGACATCTCCTTGCTCTACCTCCTTGTCTGCTGTGTCAATCTGGATCTCTGGGCAGTTCAGCATGGAGACCAGTAGGCCCGTGTCTGTTTCTGTTCCTGGAGCTTCCTCAGCTTCGGATCCTTCCATCCCTTCAGTTCCCTCACCATCCTTAGGCTCCAGGGCCCGGGAATCCTCTAGTGCACACAGAGCATCCTGAATCCTGTCAGAGAGGAAGTTGCCTGGGGTCATTAGCATGATGGTTTCTTTGCCCAGTTCAGACAGTGGTGACTCCAGCTCCGAGTCTTCGCATAAGAACAAGGGGCCTCGAATATCCGGCTGTAGAAAATGGGATGAGTTATTTCCTATTCTTCTTTCTTCAAGCATCCCAGACAAATCTCCCTCTGCAGCTTCATGACCTTCTTCGACCTCTGGGGAGGGGGCTGGCTCGCTGCAGGTTATGTGTACTGGAGAAGGTGCTTTTCCTGTGGGCAGACTCTCTACTTCAACAACCAGTGGCAGAGAGGTGGGCACTGACGGCTGCTCTAGGACACTGCCTGAGCCCAGGGGTTTGGTTCCTTGGGCTGCATCGTGTCTATACTTGGAAAAGATATTCACAAGTATAAGGTGGATCCAGTCAGGATCTGATAGCTTACTGATCAGTGGTAAGATCACATTGCACGTGACGAGTTCAACTACTACGTGGCGTCCAGTCCTAGTCTCCAGGTGGGGCTTGGGCACTAACTCTTTAAGTAACAAATTCACAATGCCGCGTGCATAGGTGACCTCAGTGGTAGGGCTGTGCAAGGCAGGATGGGGAGGAGTGGCCTGGCAGTAAGCATCCCACAGCTGGGAGGGCTGAACTGAACAGCTCTGCTCCCTGGCTGCGGCCTCCTTTGCCTGAATATAGCTCTGCAGGTGACAACCACAGAGAGTGAGAACCCTCTGTGTAAGAGCATGTCTGTCCGCTCTGCTCATCCGCCTTCGAAGCTCCTGAACCAACCCCTTCATGGCTGCCTCCATCTCCGCCTCGAATGCTGGCTCCTGGCTCACTGAACGATACCAGGATAACACAAAATCTCGGATTATCATCTGGATGGTGCAGTTAATCTCCTGTTCCAGCTGCCTTTCTGCCTCGGGGCACGGAGGACAGGCGGTGACCGTGATGAACCGCTCCAGGTGCAATTGACCTGAAGCCCCTGCAACAGCACTGGCGCCTAGCCAACCTCCCAGCACCACCAACGATGCGCACAGAAGGATCAGAAGCCACATGTTGACCAGAAGGTGGATGACAAGTAGCCAGCCCAGCAAGACCCCCACAACCATCAGCTTCCGGCTACTCCATAGATTACCGAAGCCACAGCTGGACTCTGGGGTAGTCTCCTGGGTAGGGGACACTGTTTCTGCCTTCATGGCTCAAAGAACAGATGGTTTCCACAGATGACAGCCACCTATTTCACTTTGGTGACAGGAGTGAGAGCATGAATTGGCCCAGTAAAAGAACAAGTCCGGGTGCTACTGAGTGAACTCCGCACCCTCGGCACTACGGGCACTGCAAAGCGACGGAGATAGCCCTGCTTCTCCCGCTCGCTTCTGTCAACAGAGCCCACCGAGTAGTCTCTTCCCATCGAGGTGAGGAGAACTTGACCGCCTTCATCACGGCCCAGGCGGAGAGTCTCTTCGCAGCCCCGCGCGGCCCACGGACACTTACGAACGCCGAAGCGGCCGGCAGATCGGGTCACATGTCGCCGGGGGTCGCGTGCCCAGACTGAGCCCCTGTCCGGAGCGGACTCATTGGGGGTTCCTTCCGACTGCCGCGGTCAGCAGCCACAGCCAGCCCCGGCAGCCCGGGCAACTGCTTTTCGCAGCTCCAAAGCGGTCAAAGCCGCCAGCCGGCCGCCAGCCGGCGACAGCTTCCGGGTCGTGGCCTGCGGGAGCGGGGTACGCTGGGAGAGCTGCCCGGTGGATGCGCGCTACCTGCGCCCCCTGCTGGTGAGGAGCCGTGGTGCCGGCGGGCGCGCACAGGAGTCGGCTGGCCTGAGACCCAGTCTTCAGAACTCGCCCAGGCTCTGAAAAGTGTTGTGTGTAAATATCCCTAGCCGCCGAGGTAAACTTTCACTAATCTAATTTGTTTTAATTCCCTGGGACACGTATTTTTAGTAGCTTCATGGATTTTTGATATCCCTGTTTCCTCCAGAAATCATTACTTTCGCCCTCTCCTATACACACTGCCCTTAAGTCCTTAAATCCTTAAGAGTCTCATTTGTTCTCCGGAGTTGTGAAAGATAAATATCAAGTCATATTTGTGGTGTGGAGTAGGTTTCTAGTGAGCATTTCCTATGTTCAGTTACTGGGTTGGAGAATGGGTCCTTATAGACCTTGCAGTTAATCGGGGGAAATGAGTTTGTTTGAAATAAATGGATCTTCAGTAAAGCCAGTCTGTATGGGACATAGTGAAACGCAACATCCTGAGGGTGTTCAGGAGCAATCTCAGAGAATCGCAGTAGTTAAAGGGAGCCTGTGGAGAAAATAGCCTTTGTACTGAATCTTGAAGGATTTCTCTCCCTTCCGTTTCTTTCCAGATGCATAGGTAAGCGAGGCAGAGATAGAGATGTAGTTTTTAGGTTATCCTCTAACGCATTTGGTTTGGGATATGCCTATGATTTTGTTCAGCTTTGAATTCATCTGTCAGTTGTCTACTCAAAAGGGTGGCCTACAAAGAGAGTCAGTATCTGAAGGCGGTGGGACCGACCGTGTGTAGAAGTGTTTGTATCTGTTTTGTATGGAGTCTGTATAGGCCTCCAACTTGGTCCTTAGGAACCGTGTCTGCAATGTGGTTCTCCTTTCTTTTTGGGACAGATGAATGTCATTTGCACAGTTCTTTGTCATTCCATCCTCTGTCAGGAGCCATTTACTTCCAAGAGGCTTGAAGGAATCTTCAGGTAAATTCTAACCAAAATACCCTATACCACCAAGAGGCATATTATAGCTACCTTTGCCTTTTTCATCTTCACCTCTGCTGTTGAGGCAATGATTTCACTTGAATGCAAAAGAAACCATCATTTGCAATTGGATGTAGCTGATGGCGTATCACTTCTAAGGCCAACAATATAATTTAGGATCAACGTGTCCGCTAAACAGGCAAGGCAATCTGTGAAGTCAAAAGTCACTGGTCCCTGTTTCTCTGGTGAATGTCACTTCGCTGCCACCATCCCCCCAATGGAAGGGGACATGAGAATGGCATATAACTCCTTATGCCCTCCCAAACCATTCTTTTGTTCTTGGGAAGAGCTGCTTGACAGTAATGTTCTGGAGAAATAAATATCCCTGCTGCCTCGTTGAGAATTACGGCAGAAAGTTAAATGATGGAGGAACCGGAGACGCCACTTAAGACTTCACTATGAAGCTCGGAGAAAAAGTTCCCATTATCACAATATGGGGAGTGCAGGGCAGTAAGGAACTGACCTTGTAAGTGGGCGTTATGCCACCTGACCAGATGGTCTGGAGTACTGAGGTAGCCAAGAGTGTCTTCCTGATTCTGAAGCAGATTTGATGGACGTGCCAAGGCACTTGTCATTTGGATGGCTATGAGCTTCTGCCCGGGGATTTGGGACAGATCTGAGTCTCCAAGCAGATTAATCATTGGGAGGAGGTGAGAGTCATGCTTAGTATAGAACAGTATGTGCCCAAGATGGGGGAGGGTGACTGGCCACTCATCTCCCCCGCGTCTCTTCTTCCCTTTCTACTTACTGTTTCTTAGACATAGAGCTAGAGTGTTAGGACTGAGAAGACAGATACCATTCATTCACCTAAAGGAATCTGCAGTCTAACCAAAGGAGAGGTTCATTCAAGAGGAATGCATTCAAACATGATGTCATGCTTAAGGTGATGAGACGTGACAGTTGGCATAGGAGAGAGTTCAATAAACTGCACACACAAAGGGTCGGTAGCCACCTGGTACGTAGGGTGGTTCATAGATGTTTACCCCTAAATTTGCAAACAGAAAAGAGGTCAACATGTTTTAGGGAAATGTAGACCAGAGAGAATGGGGGAGGTCTTTAGTGCCATGAGAGCAAAAGGCACTGTTGTGGCAAGAGGCCAGCTTGAAACAAGTCCATACCGTTCCCCACATTTCTCTTAAACACAGAAGACAAGATAGGCTTGATGTTGTGGGCTTGTATTAAAAGAAACTTGGGAGCCCAAGGCAGCTGGGTGGAAAGGTCTGCCTGGGCTACAGCTCAAGGGCAGCTTGAGCAACTTACTTAAACCCTATTCAAACATAAAGAAACAATGCTGCAAGTGTAGGAGTTGTTCCGTGGGCAAATGTTGTCAAGCTTCTTGCCTGAATGAAGGCCTTGCATTAATCAATAATGAAGAAGATAAGGGAGCTTACTGGAGATAATTCCGATGACAGTACAGAAGAGTTCAGAAGGGATAATGGCATAGAATTATTGCTGGAAAACAGGAAGTGGTGAAATTCACATAAAGGAAATAGAGGGCTGGAGGAATTAGCTGAGATCGCCAGGCATGAGTCTGGAGTTTCATTAATATTTATTGTTCAGTTGTTTTCTCACAAGATGTATGATTTGGATATGTTGCCATGTTGAGATTTTGAGAATAGATAAAGAGAAACGGCAAGTGGTTAGAACCTCAACACCCTGAGAAGTGGAGTACTAAAATTAAAAACCATACTATCGAGGTGCATGGAAAACGAAATAAAGCCATCGGATGGACAATTGGTCAGAAGAACATGCTTGAATATAGTAGGAAAAGTGTATATGCAAACCAGAAAAAGGCTTCTGATAGGCTGGCGATCCGTCTACTGGAGTTTCTTATTACTGTCTTGTCAAGTTGCCATGAGCCCTGTGGCTAGCAGCATCACAATTTATTCTCAGGCACTTTGGGAAGTTAGCAGCCTCAAATGGGTTGGCAGAACTGTGCTCTTCCTGGAGGCCAGAAGCGAGAATGTGCTTTCTAGTCCTTCCCAGTTTCTAGGTAACACCTGTGCTCTCTGGCTCCTGGCCCCACATTCCTGCTACCTCCACTCCTCGGCATCTGCCGTCACATCTCTCTCCTACCTCTGAACCTCCTCTCCTGCCTTTATATGAGGACCTTTGTGATTGCATCAGACCCTCTCTTGTATTTCAGAGCTCTCTTCCCATCCCGAGGTCTTCCCATCTCTTCATCATACCTACAAAGTCTCTTTGACCAAGTAAAGCAACACATTCTCAGGACGCATAAGTCAGCAAGGAGAATCTTCTAGAAGACACTGGCTGGGGCAGAGCTAAAGTGTATATAGATGAAAGCTTTTGATAGGTAAGTCTGAATGCAGGCAAATAATGGGTTTATTAAGTAAAATATGAATAAATTATTAGGAATTTGGAATCTTTTTCTTTTTAAAGATAAGGTATCAAACCCACTTTAGAGCCCATACCTCTCAAATACAGGGATTAAATATTGTACCACAGTGCCCGGGTGAGTCTGGATTTATAAGGAATGTAATCTGGCTAGGCTTGGAAGTCATCGATTTTAGGATAGAGAGGATTGAGAATGTCGTTACACAAGTTACTAATAAACACTCATGACCAGAAAGTTGCAGAGGCTGTAGAAAGTGGAGACGTTAATGCCGGTGGAGACATAAACAAGTTCTTGTAAATTTCAAAGTCAACTGCCTAAAAGAGGCCTTGAAAGCCTGGGTGTTGTCCTGGTTCTACCTTGAATGCTGTGTTGGAAAATAAATGGACACCAGAGGGCAGCAACGAGTGCGGTTGCCTGAGAAATTGCATCTTAGCCACACATTCTACAAGGACTGTCATAGAAACTGAGAATTTAAAGATGGACTTTAGGCAACTTCTCTTCAGGAATTCACATCTAATGACAGAGACAAACACTGATACAGTGTAAAAGTACTACAGTGGAAATATGTCAAAATATGGGAATGAGGTGGATTAAGGGAATTTACGTAGAGAAGGACACTTAATTCTTTGTAAGTTTGATAGGACTCACAAGAAAACATTACAGACTAAATCTTTTCAATATCAGAATTTGGTTCTTATAATTTTAGACATTGGAAGTGCAAAGTCAAGGTGCTGACATGGTTGGCCCTTCTGAGGGTCTCTCGTTGGTTTGAAGGTAATAATCATTTTATTGTCTCTTTATGGAGTGCTTGGGCATTTCTGAGGATGCTGAGTCCCTCTATTATGATCTTGTTTAGCTTTAATTACCACTTTAAACATCTAGTCTCCAAACACAGCTTCACTCTGAAATATACTGAACAGTGCGGCTGTACAATTTGATTTTTGAAAGGATGCAATTTTGATCCTTAACACTTCCTTTCTACCTGGTGGTTATATAAATGTGTGTGTGTTTCAATTATCAGGATACTAAGTGGAGGCAAATAGCTCTGATAGTTTCCAACATTTCTTTTAATTTCATAAGATAGAGCTCTGGAATAGCTTTTGTGTCTGGCTACATACATACATTTGGAACATACATACATGTTCTGGTAGGTGCTCCCACTGCAGAACATGCTAGACACTGAAGGGAAAACACTGTGGCAGATTTATGGCTACATAAGAGGATGTATAGTAATCCAGGAAGCTGAGCTGCAATATCTAATCCAATCTTGAAATAAAGTAAAGAAACAAATGTTGAGATCAGGGTAGAACTGAGAGTAGTGAACAGTAGTCAGATGAGGAGGGAAGGGTGGCCACAGGGAAAGAGATTCTAAGTAGAACTACATTTCAGTTCACAACTTTGTTGTAGCCATGAGAAAGTAGAACTGAGTCTCAGACTTTTAGTTTGAGCTATAGTCCTTGAAAGATGCTTGAAGAAATTCTATCTTAGCAGAACCTTATGAGTGATAGTCATGAACCTTTTCTGGAAGAAAGTATTTTCATTTGGAGACTATAAGATAAGAATAACCTTAAGATGGACTAAATCTGAACTTTCAGTTCGAGACTATTAAGTCTTTG